CCCCAAAACCCCAAAACCCCAAAACCCCGTTCTATGCTAAATGATTGGCTTATTATTTATTTAATTAATTAACAGATCTTTATAAATATATATAAAGGAATGGAATCATCCACAGATCTTCACAGTCACAGTAAAGGATATGAGGTTGAAATAGAGAATGCCCCTAATAATTCTCTTATTTGCGAATCTTCTTGACCCAAACTACAAAGACTAAAAGAGATTGAAGTTAGAGTGGCAAACATTCAAAATATCCTTCAACTCTACGCTTCAATCACGCATTCGTGTTACTCCATCCGCATGAGGCAGATCAAATTGTCTTTGCTTGCAACAGCAGGAGAGCTCAGCCAGCCTGAATGGGACTCGGCGACATCCCAATCATCTGTGGCACAACAAAGATCTCAGCATCTGAAATCACTTTGCTTAGCCTATGCTGACCAAGTTGCTATACCAAATAATGAAGTCTCTTTCTTGTAAGTTCAGACCCAAATTTGCATTCAGAATCAATTTTAAGGAACCCTTATGTTTAGATCTGCTTTTAGGAGAAGTGTGTGACCTTATATAGACAAACACCATTGAAGAGTCAGGTTCAAGGATGCTCTAAGTCTTTAGCCATGCTAAGTTTGCCAGCGGAAGCCATTGATACAGCTCTGCATTCTGATTCTCTTTCGATGAAGCTATTTAATCAACTGCTGGATTCATTTAGCTCCAAGATTCTGTGCGATTTATATTCCAACATAAATATGGCATACCAGATACCAGGATTTTCACCACAAACCCAACTTGATATTAACATGAGCCAATCGAAATACCAAAGTTTCCTTAAGAAAATGGAAGGAGTGGCTTTCCCTTCATTGAATGAAGTTTCAATTAACAGCATCCCTGCGCACAATAGAGCTGTGAAATACTTCCTGGAGAACTCCATCCCAACAAGCAGGATTACCTGGCTATCTCTACAAGGAGATGGGTTGACAGATATAGGCTTCTATCTGACCGCCATTGTTAAAGCTTGTGAAAGAGTCACAGAATCTATAGTGTTCACTAATTTTCAAATTAGTGAGCTCCAACTCAAGAAAGTGTTCATGGCTTGCAGACATAAAGAGAGAGTGTTGTTTTATTCATGCAAGTTTACCTTTCCAAGAGTGCCTGACTTCAGAAGATGCCTTGAAGGATCCAAGATCTGGATCATGAACTTCGAGAGTTGAGATCTTTCTAGCAAAAGTAACTGGCGTAGCCACCCAGAAGAGTTTGAGAATTTTGTCCAAGGATTGGCCAATTCAGATCTGAAGAAATCTCTTGAGACAGTTGACTTTGGCTGGTGATATGGATTTGGAGAGAACTATGTACCCATAATATTCAGTAAATATGGCCTTGGACATGTTCAGATAGACGGAAGTTTTATGGGCTGTTAAAAAGTGAAAATTTTTCAATTGTTACCATATTCCCTGGGGTTTTGGGGTTTTGGGGTTTTGGGG